CTTTTTTTTTTTTTACCTATTTCATGGCATCAGATTTTTGGCCTAGAACCAATGACAAACGTTGTGAACGCACCACCTCCTCTGCCCATTGCTTCCTCCGACCCACCTGTCCTAAAAGTTGCTGCAGGTCTTTGAATGGGGCCTTGCATCTTGGGCCCTGCAGCTACCTCTGCTCTGCAGGAAGGTCAACTTGTAACTCTCTACTACAAACTCCAGAGACTGAGGAAGGATAATCTTCAACTCCTTCCCCAAATTGTTCTATCCTTACACTCTTCCTGCCAGGCCTGAACAGAGCTCGATGTTTTTTCCAGATTCTCTAAGGAAAGGCGTGAGATCTTACACAGTGAGACAACCTCATTATGACCACACACCGTACACCCTACACCTCATTATTGACCATACACCGTTCCTGGAAAATCAAATGACCATGTTAAAAATCCAGCAACAATGGAATAAAATCCAAACTTTGCTGGCTATGGACGTTTGGCCACCAGAGTCTTCACCCCTTGTGATTCCCCTTGAGCACTGCTCAGGGACACCGAGGAGGTATATCAGGCTGCGACAGCTCCGGCAACCTTGACCTGCACCTGATCACTCTTCCGGGCAGTGACAAAGACCGTGAACGTTCCTTCAGTTCACGGAGAGTTTATGACTCCTCCTACCTGTGGCACAGCAACTCCCACTGTTGCTGCTGTTAATATTGGCTTGGTGCCTGGCAGTCGCAACCAAGACTTACCCGCTCTCCACAATCCAATTATCCACTCTCTGATTGCGTATTATACAATGCAGGCAACTATTTGTGGTATGCCTGCTTGGAGGTCGGTGATGTACTAATTGCCGAAGGACGTGAAAAGAATCTCACGTACGTCACTCCCAAGAGGCTCCGCTTCACCATAGCACAAGCTTGGAGGAAGGGTACACTTGGTCAAACAGCTCCCAGTCTTGCTACTGCCACTTCTCCGCCTACTTCTGTTGACACCACCACCAGCTCCCCTTTGAGCAATACACCTCAACTCTCCCTCTGTATGGACATGGCCCTACTAGATAGATGGGGTGCACAGTCAGTTCGGCTGTCGGATTATTGTGCTCTGATAGCAGTCGATCCACGATATTGGCATTTCAGTTATGACAGTCCTTGTGGCTCTGACTTGCCTGACATGCTGGCCCTTACCAAGCAGCATAACATTTTCCTCCAAAAACTGGCTGACAATTCCAAGACACTAGACACACACACCAAGCATCTCATAACTCTTTCCCCAGCACACGGACAACAAACAGAAGTGGGGCTGCTGTAGTGGTCCTGACTTTCACCTTCACTGTAACGCCTGGGCCGCCACAGTGAGCCGGCCGATGGTAGTCCGGCACCTTTTGGTCATAGATTTTGTCCGCGTGGCATAGTTTATGGGATGGCTTAATGTCCTCCTGTACTGAAATATTGATTATTGTGTTTTGTACTATATTCGGTTTGTTTTTCACTTAGCTCTGTATGGTTTCACACAACCTAAAGCACATAAATCTGCCGGATGTCTTGTTTGACTCCCCTCCGCATCTTTTGATGCACGCCTCAGGGCGTCAGGGTGGAATGAGGTGAGCAGGACAGAAGCCATCTTGTGCTTCTGCCTGGTTTCAGGTTTACTTCCTGAGTTTAAATTCCGGCATGCCTGTGTGGTAACCATACGGAGTGATGATAACCCGATGTCCAGCATGCCAAAAACTTATCTTGTGAACTCGTTTTGAGAAACTTAAAAATGTATGTTTTCTAAGAAATGTATTTTTACCAAGAAAAATACATTTTTACCGTCACAGGATTAGCATGAGCTGTTTGCCCTAAATTCCCTTGCTGCCCTTGGGCTCAGTCTTCTGGTCATTGCTCCGGGGCTCGGCCGTGGACACCGCTCTTCCCAGAGCTGCCCCTGGAGCCTGCAACTGCCTGTGACCGTCACTCCAGCTTCCAGCTCAGCCACGTGAGCTCCTCTTTCTCAGTGTGAATGTGATCAACGTTCAATAAACCACCGCATTCGGGGAGTGGCGTGACTCTGGGGGTCTTTGTGTGGCAGATGCAGCCACCACCTTTGGCCCCTCTGAGCCCCAGGGCGGCCTAACTCAGAGGCCCTTTTGGCCTTAAGAGTGGCCTCTCTGTCCACTCCCAACAGCAACCCATCTCAGTAGCTTCCGCACTGCTTCTTGCTTCCCGCACCACCGGGTGGAGGACTGCCTTCCCTCAGCAGGGTGGGAGGGGCAGCCTGCTCTCAAAAGTCTCACCAGATGGGCACAGGGTCTCCCTTTCCTGGCCCTTTCTGTGTGTGCACATGCACACGTGTTCACACACATGTGGGTCCCAGGGCAGGTGTTCTGGGACGCTTTGCCCTTCCCATCTCTCCCCCCAAAGCCCCAAATCTCCCCCATTGCTGGCCTGACTTCTGAAATCCTTTCTCTGCTGTGTCTCTCTGTCTGGAGCATGAGATGAACATGACTTTTGTCTGTGCTTATCAAATTTGGATCAGTCTGCACTTATTTATTTATTTATTTATTTAGGTACCGGGAATCGAACTCAGGACCTTGACCTTGCCAGGCAGGCACTTGTGCCGCTGAGCTATCTCCCTGATGTGTGCCTACACATGAAACACACATACCAGTACACCTAGCCTGGCTCCAAAGGACCTAAAGGCAGCAAGATCGTAACGGAATGTTTGGACCTAAACGTTCCACATCCTACAGCTATGCGGGCAGGGTGGGGAGCAAGGAGGGGTTAGGGTTAGGACTGTGATAGGGATGGGGTGCAAGGCCCGGTACTCATGACCGACATCCGACGTGCTTATGTGTGGGTCACTGTTGGTAACCCCCGTGAATTACATTTTGAGCCTCTGCCTGTAGGCCCCTGTCCATGCCGCAGTCCTGGAACTGAGGCGACATCAGGGACTGCGGAGCCACGTCCCGCCGGGGGGGGGGTAGTACCCGAAAGGAATTTCACGGATGAAAAAAGCGCTCAAGGGCTTGCAAAAAGCAATCACAAAACATCTTCAAAATCTAACTCGAAAAAGCTCACCATGTTGCATTTACAGTTTTAAACTCTGACTCGGCTGGCTACTGCCAGCTCATTGGCCCTATTCCCTTCTGCCAGGACAAAGCCCCAACTTTTACTGGAGGGTTTGGATGAATCTTTTGTACTTCCGTCGCGTTCTGAAATAGGTGTCATCGCGAAACCGCTCCACACGTGTGACTCCGGCTGAAAGGTTCACGTTTCGTCTTACAAGGAGAAGGCTAGGCCAAGCTTCGGCGAGCGAGAAACCCAACACATAAAGGATTTATTTACTCTCGCTCTTGCCTCCGGTAGACGTCTGCATTCTTCGGAGAAGGTCTAGTTAGGCTCCCGGGGAAACAGCTGAAAGAGGACATTCATGTGGGTTCTGGCTCCTCTGGGTAAATGAACCCAATTACCCCCGAGAGGCGCGGGGACTCACTTCCTGGAGCCCCATCCGCAGACGGGCGCGCGATCGGGCGGGGCTCGGCACTTTGGCGACCGCGGCCGGTGGCGCGGAGGGGCCGGGGGCCGGGCT